ATGTGTTACCTTTTGGAGAGTGGCATATGCTGGCATCTCCTGTTAGGTGTGAGCAAGCTCTGAGTGCTGTCCTTCCCTGTATCCCCCTGTAGGTGTCAGCTTTTCCAAGTCTCCAAATGCAGTACATAGCTAATGGCTGTAGGCATCCTGAGATGTTCAGAGATCACTAAGATTCTTTGCTTGCTGTGGGTGAGTGCTCTGCTTTTAAATGTTGCTTGAGAGTTAATGAAATGATTACATATGTTGCATCTTGCCTTGACTGGCTGTTAACATAGTTTCAGGAGGAAGACATGTTTTGTCTTTTTCTATGCTTTACAGGTACAATCAGGTGAGAAAGTGTTATGCTTCATGATACTGTGTACTTGGCCTTACATTGATTTGGCAGCCAGGTTTACTAGCAGGAGCTATTAAAGCATTCATGGAAATACTGATGTTCTCTGGGCACAGAGACAGCAGTTCCCAGCATGGACTTAGGCTAAAGTCACGTGCAGCACCTGTGGGCATGCTGGTTGTCTGGATGTTTATGTCCCTCAAGATGTGCCCACAAAAGGCTGCTCATCAGCCATATAGTAGCTTCTTGTCTCTAGAGGCTGCTTTATCTCTGGTTGCCCCCGGCCTTCAAGTCTTCAAACAAAAGATTTCTTAGACTTTTCCATCTGTTGAAGTTGTCCATCAGCAAGCTTTGAGACAGAGGTGCAGACTGTCTTAGACTTAGACTCCTGGAATTTCCTGCACTTGTTCATCTGTCAGAAAGTCTCTTGCACTTACAAGCCACAGGACCTTGCTGACTCGAAATTCAGATTTGAAATGTATCTGCACTGGTTTGCTAGGATTCCTCATGAAAAAGAATGGTGGTGACTGCAGTGGTAGAGAAAGGGTAAAGTCAGATATTATCTCCTTCTTCCCCATTCCCACAATCCACACATTTCTTTCTTCTCACACTTGAAGCAGAGAGCTGTACAGGCACTTCTGATTCAGCCCTATCAAGTTTGCTTCTCAAAAACTCTACACTTTCCCCATGCCTAATTGAAATGGAAATGGTCACTCTTCCATTCAGAATAAAAAGGTACATTTTGATTATTTAACTCCAACGTCAAATCCTCTTAATTTCTGGAATCGAGATTTCTTTACGTGCAATAGTGTGAAAAATCCAATTAAAGTGCAGCTGAAATTGCTCAGGGGGTGCCTGTCAGCAAAGGTGGAGAAAGAACTGTTTTTCAGGATTGTAAAGAGTACCACACAGCATGCTGTTCCTTATTTGTCTTTTTTTCTTTCTGCTTAGGAACCAGGCCAATGCCTCTTCCCCTGTTTTGAGAAGCCAGAGGTCCAACAGACTATTCTTTCTGTAGCCATGATGATGCACTGTTGCTGTGTCTCCTTCTCTCTAACAGCTGGTGACCAGACACCACACCTCAAGAAATCCAGCTGTTCATTAGATATGCACTTCCTCCTCCTAGAGAAAAGTAAAATCATAGCTCATATTAAGATGTGAACATCTCTCTGAGATGGGCTGAGTTGGGGAGGCAAAAGAATCCTTACAGGTGACATTTTCGAAGTGAATTTTTAAAGTGTGGGATCACTGCAAGTTCGCTCTATCTCAACAGGGTACTGCTGTGTTGCCTGAAAAGAGCCTCCTACAGCCAGAGAGGTCAGATATTTGCCCTTTATCACTTTGTTGTTGTTGTTGTTTTTGTCTATGAAGGTAACAAACCAAGGAAACTCATTTATTTTGTTGGCAGCTACCGTCTGTTGAGAGTTTGTTGAGGAGGCTCACTCACTATCCCATTTCAGAGGAAAACCAGGAATTTCATGTAATTAAGTCAGTGGAGCTCAGTTCATACTCACACACATTGCTCTACACTGAATACACAGCAAAGAACATGTTGTCTAGAGGATACTTTCTTAAGGTCCTTATTAAGATATTCTTTGTGGGAAAACCTACTAATATAGCACTAAAATCACTGTGGTCTTGCTTCTCCTATTGTCTAGGTTATGCCATTTTGAAAGTGCTGCAGA